AAAATACATAAATAATAATTTAAAAAAACAATAAACAATGAGGAACTCTTTTGCTCATTTGTCTCATCTCTGACATTTTGCAATCTTTATAAATAATTATAAGACCATAAGATGAGGCATTGCGTTTGGACATAAACACGGCCAGATAAGGCAATTTGGAAGGGGACAAATTCAACTGAATATATTCCTTCATATAGCCCGTGAGGGGGAGGGGGGAGGGTGCCCTTTTTTCAGGTCAGAGCAACTGCCCCTCAAAATTCCTGTGCACGTCCCTGATCCTGTGTGTCATTTATAGGATGAGCCCACCACAGGTATGGACCCAAAGGCTCGTCGGTTCTTATGGAACCTGATTCTTGACATCATCAAGACCGGACGTTCTGTTGTGTTGACGTCACACAGGTGTGCTAACTATAGAAATCTTTCTGTTTTGTATTTAATTTTAATAGCAGTGTAGTAATGTACTGTTATGTTTACTTGCAGTATGGAGGAGTGTGAAGCCTTGTGCACTAGACTGGGCATCATGGTTAACGGCAGGTTCAAGTGCTTGGGAAGCATCCAGCATCTCAAAAACAGGTTTGAAAAGTCTCAGCCACTTAAATCCACTTGGGGTTCAGGAGTGCAGTGAACTTATACATTTTTGCTACACTGTTCTTTTATATTTGTTTCAGATTTGGGGATGGGTACATGATAACAGTACGCACTAAGACCACCGCTAGCGTCAAGGAAGTGATACGGTTTTTCAACAGGAATTTTCCAGAGGCCATCCTAAAGGTGCGTCAAATGGTTAATATTCAGTACTGAATATATTTTGAATGAAGTACATTTTTGTACCTTCTATTGACAATTTAAAGCATAACATTTTAAGAAAATAAATGGTAACACTTTACAATAAGGTTCATTAGTTAATGTATTAACTAACATGAACTAACCATGATCAATACATTTGTTAAAGTATTTGTTAATCTTCGTTGATGTCAGTTAATAAAAATAAAGCTGTTCATTGTTTGTTCATGTTAGTTCACAGCACATTAACTAATGTTAACAAGATTTTAATAAAGTATTAGTAAATATTGAAATTAACGTTTACAAAGATTAACAAATGCTGTATAAGTGCTGTTCATTATTAGTTCATGCTAACTAATGTAGTTAACTAATGTTAACTAATGAACCGTATTGTAAAGTGTTACCAAATAAATTATTGAAGGTAAGTTTTGTTTTGCAAAACTAATGTGTGTGTGTGTGTGTGTGTGTATATATATATGAAGAGTTCAGATGCAAAAGCCTCTAAATGCCATTTGAAATTTTCTTCTTTAATGATGATTTTTATCAAACTTGTATATTTAAGTTCAGTAATTTCACTTAAATAACAATTAATAGGTAATTATCTTTGCCATTTAAGTGAAATTACTGAACTTAAATATACAAGTTTGATAAAAATCATCATTAAAGAAGAAAATTTCAAATGGCTTTTAGAGGCTTTTGCATCTGAGCTCTTCATATATACATAACACATAACTAGTGCCATTTGTGGCTCTAGTTTAACTGGAAATTAATTAATATATATATATAGCTCAAATTTCTCCAAAACATATTGCCGTAGAATACAAGTGTCTCTATGTTATCAGTTTGGAGACAGTGAGTTTTCATATTTGTAGAAAGTTGCAAGCAGCTCTCACAAGGTGTTTTTGTGCAATGCTGACAAAACTTAGTATACATGTGTGTATATTTTGAGCTTGCTTCGCTTGCAGTAAAAATTGTAAACTTCTGCGTATTCCTTTACCTAAGGAGCGGCACCACACAAAGATTCAGTACCAGCTAAAGTCAGAGAACATCTCTCTGGCTCAGGTCTTTAGCAAAATGGAGCAGGTGGTGGAGGTGCTGAGCATCGAGGATTATTCTGTCAGCCAGACAACTCTGGACAACGTAAGTGTATCTCAGAGAAATGGGACAGTAATAGTGAAAAAGTTAAGTAATGAAAGTGAATATGACTGACTTCTGGTCAAAATCCATTTTATGGATGCAAAAGAACTAAATGTGTATAATATGAAGCAAAAAGCTGCATATACTGTAACAAGAAAAAGTAGTGATATCTCATCTTATTTTTCTTTTGTTAGGTCTTTGTTAACTTTGCAAAAAAGCAAAGTGATAACTTAGAACAGCAGGAAAGTTCCCCATCTAGTGCCGGTCAGTCGCCACTGCAGCGGCTGCTAAGCATCCTCAGGCCTCGTCTTGCTAACACAGAACTCAACGCTCTTGTAAGTGAAGAGCCGGATGAACTTGAGAGTGATGATGACGAAGGATTGATCAGCTTTGAGGAAGAGAGGGTAAGAATTGGGACACCGCAACATAAAAACCATATTTCAGTTAATGAGATTTATTCAATTAAATCTGCTTGGCACGGTCTGCATAAGACTTATTACTCTTTTACTTTTGGGTTGTGATTTACAAAGATATTTTTTATTAGAAATCTTTATTTTATTGAAAATAAAGAACAAATTGGATGAGCTTCTTGTGGATTCAAAATTAAAGTGGCTGGTGTTAGGTCAAAAAGTGTGTATGAAAGAAATGAACTTTAATGTTTAATTTATCTCAAAATAAAAATGAAAAGATTAAAGCTATTAAATATTTAGAAGTGTTTAGAACAGTTTCTTGTCCCAAACTAGGCTGCATTTGTTTGATCAAAAAATAATAATAATAAAATAAAAACATTGATATTGTGAAATATTAAAACCAAATTAAATTAAAATAAAATAAAAGCATTTTTCCCTGTGATGACAAAGCTGGTTTTTCTCCATTGTTCAGTATCACATGATCCTTCAGAAATTATTCTAATAACCTGATTTGGTGCTCAAGAAACATTTTCCTTTTATCATCACCGTTGTAATATTTTAGTGAAAACGATGATTATTTGATGAATATACAGTTCAAAAGAACAGAATATTTCGTAACATTATAAAAGTCTTTACCTTCATATAATTAATCCTTTCTGAATAAAAGTATTTTTATTGTTTTTTTAAATCTAAATTTTTATTTTAATGGTAGTGTATTTTTGTACATTAAATTGCAATAAAACACTTTTGTGAATCTTCAACTACACAATATGACAAACATCCAGTCAGTAAGTGATTTAGAAGTTAATTCATCAGACCAGGGGTGTCCAAACTCGGTCCTAGAAGGATACTGTCCAACTGTCCAAGTTTAGCTCCAACTTGCCTCAACACAGCTAGTAAGACCTTGATAAGCTGGTTCAGATGTGTTTAACTGAGGTTGAAGCTAAACTCTGCAGAACTATGGTCCTCCGGGAGCAGGATTGGACACCCCTGCATTAGACTGGTTCAAACTGATTCATTAAAATAACCAAATCAAAAGAGTGATTTGTTGATAAATAAAACTGGCAGGACTAGTGATGCACCAGTTGGTATGCCACTAGATAACTCTGGTTGGGACTTTGAATTATTCATATCAATCATGTTTTTGTTTATCCCAAGACTACTGTACTACATTATTTAAAATACTTTTTATTTTCCCTTCTCACAGGTACAGTTGTCCTTTAATACAGACACTCTGTGCTGAATCAGCTGTTCATCTCAGAGACGGAGAGATGGTAAAAAAAAAAAAAAAAAAGCCTCAAGTTCAGACGCGTGTCTGTGTGGTGAAAGACGTTTGTGTGTTTTGTTTTTTTCTCGCTGGAGAGGATCCAGATCTCTCTGGCCGAGTGAGGGGGTTGTTCTTGTTTCCATTTGCTCTTCAGTAGCCGAGCGAGAGAACGGGAACTTCTTCTGGGAACTCTAAACAGAGATGCGGACACAGTCGGGGCACGAGAGAGCGGTTCTCTGAGGTTCTCAGTCCACAGCGTCCCCTCTGGAGTTCTTGAGATGATGGTTTATGGAAAGGTGTATTACTGTACTTCATATTCAAGCCTGCTGGATGGGAATTAAAGAGAATGTATTTCTTAGATACGAACCGGCCGTATGGTTTAATTTGGTATCGCTTTAAATTTGGAATATGGTTGTACTATCTTTAAACTGATCACACGTTGGAATTGTTTTAATCGTAGTGTTGATGTCATAACAAAATCATCCCTCAAGGAATGGGTTTCGGCCTTTGCAACTTGTTTTTTTATGACTGTTTATTCTGATGTTCAGTTGAAACGGTTGGAACTATAGCCTACATCTTGTTTTGTTTTTTTCCTTTACTCTGACCTAGTTTGTTTACTTGTACCTGCATCGAGAGCATGCTTTAAGACAAGCCTGTTGTGTTGTGGGTTGAAGAAATTTTGCTATGCTTAAATGTTTTGAACAGACCTGTTGTTCTTGTTGAAGAATGCAAATGTACCTGTGCACCTTCATTGAAGTTTTTACATTGGACATTCAATAGTGAATGACTCAAAGGCCTTTTAGTCGAACCGAACCGAGCAAGCCCTGCTATCGAGATGTTTATGGTCTTGTGGTTGAATGTAAACGGCATGAGTGTTTTGTGCTGACTCTTGTTTCTCCTTTTCTTTTTGTTTTCTAAGAATTTAAACTGGTATCTTTTACGTTGCATTACCGCGAATGGTTGAAAGCTGCATAATGCCAGATGTCTGTTGAAACGTTCATAAGTGTCACTATATCACTGTGAAGCCAAAAGTGAACTTTGAGTCACTGTTATTACAGTACAGATAGACCGAAATCAGGTCATTGCTCTTGATTATTATATTTGAGAACCCTTCAAATATGTTTGTTTATTGAATTGCAGGAAGTTTTTTGTTGTTGTTTGCACTGTAATGTAATACAAGTGTAATTTATTTTTCCTGAAATTAGCCAGTTATGTTGTTTATTTGATATTAAATGATGCTTTTCCTTCATGCCAGTGATGTACATGATGGTTAGGTCCTATCACTTGGTGACAGTCTAACCGCTCTGAATCTTGCACAATTGTCGGCACTTAGTACTATAATGGTGTTTTTTTTTCTGACATTGCTGTGTTAAAGAGTATGATCGATATTTTTGAGCTCCTCAAAGAGAGGAAAGCAAAGACGGATGAGGAGGCCGTCGGTGCATTTTTATGTACGATGATGACCAAAGGGAAATGAAGCGGTTTTTGAAATGTGTAAATGAATTGTGACCAGCTATGTGAAAACTGACCCAATGAACTCTGAACACTCAAAGTCTCCTTTCCTGCTAAAAGTTTTCCTCAAAATAAGATTTCCTGCTAACGAGAACCTCAACAGCCTAACTAAAGATCAGTGCTAGCTGCTTTTCACTTTGGAAATGAACATGTGCAGTGATTTAAGACACCAGCAAACATGAGTGTGGTTCTGTATCATATAAAATAGCATTGTGGTTAAGGAGGTGATTTAGTTTTATCTTTCTAGTAAGTGCTTTGGAATGTAACTTCAGTACATATGAATATGATTCAATATTTATGAACGTTTTTTCATCCAGTAATACCTATGTTCAGGTGAATTCCCTTGTAACAAGATTGACTGGACCTTTTCAGCTTGTTTTCAATTACCTTTATCGTTTTCATGCTCTTGTTCTAACTGGGGTGAACTGGTGTTTTTAATATTAACGGGGAAAAGATAATAATTAAATCAATAAATTGTTCAATTGATTTTGTGACTTTTATTTGTACACAGTCGTTTGAATAATAAAACATTTTCAGTTATAATCCTTAAATTTAAAAATGCCTTTTTTTATTTGCAACACAATTAAAAGAAAAAAAAATGCATGATGACTTAAAACAGTTTGTGGTGTAATTGCTATGCAATTATATTTTAAAAACTGATAGTGTTGAGGTGGTTAAAAAATAGACAATTCATGTTTAATAAAAGCTCACGATATCATCATTCATCGTCTCCATCATCGAAGGCCACACCTGTTGCAGGTTTCTTTCTGTAAAATGGTTAGAAATAGTCAGTGAACAGGAATTTAAAAGAAATTTCACAGATTTATTTGTTTATTTTTGAGTCTAAATTCAATTTAAAAAAAAAAACCTTTTTGTTCCAGGGTTGATGAGAGAATCCCCAGGAAGACGTTTTCTAACTGCTACTGTTGGACCCGTGTGCTGTTTTCTAGGTTCAAATTCTAAAAAAAAAAAAAAAAAAAGGAAAAATTTTAATTTTAAAACAGCTTAGACTATTTAAGTCGGTAACTCTTAACATTTTTAACTACAAGGCATTGTCCAAGACAATATTCGAAGATCCTCCTATCTAAACTGACTTTCCTTTTCTCCCTTCCTCACTCACACACACGATATTACAGTTGTAATAAATAATATTTTTAAAAGCCCTTAAAAATATAATGTCAGTATAATGTTGTACATCTTGATTTATTTATAGCATTTTAATTAAAAAGGTACACTATGTAATTTTTGGCCTTCTCAAGTTTAAAAAAACAAAACTGCTCACATTTGTACATGCTTTGAATGAAGTATTGACTCTTTTTTTTTATTAATTTTGAACAAAAAAAAAGTTACATAGTGTACTTTTAAGATAAACATAAAATGTCCATAAATTTTCTTCGAAATTTACATAATTTTTATATCATGTTTGAGAACCACTGATTTAAATACATTTGACTAAATCCAACTAACAAGCTTAAATAGTACTGCCTTAACTTACCAGAACTCTTCTTCTGAGGGTTCTTGACTGGACTAAATGAAGATGACGCTCCTAAAAATTATTAAAAACATTTAGCTCCAGGGTTAAATTATTTTGAAAAATAGCAATTATAATAATTGAAAGCATCTTTGCTTGCCTTGACTTTCTAGCTGTTGCAGGTTGTCAGCCATTTTAAATAGCAGCTCCTTGACTTCTGTCCTTCCCTCTGAGTCAGTGAGTTTTGAAAGAGACAGACTGAGGTCTGTTGGTTCAGATCCTAAATGCAGCACAGCACTGTCCTCCTGCAGCTTCACAAATGCTCTGCCAGTCTTACATGCACATCTGTCCAGATACACAAGAGGGTGTTCTCAGGCAGGATAGAAGATCTTGCCAAACAAAGAAATCAGACTATCAATTACTCAAGTACTCTTTCACTCACTTGAGCTTGACGGTATAATCCTCTGTGGATTTTAAGGCAAACTTCTTAAACTGTAAAGAAATAAAAAGCTTTTTATTATTGCTGTAAACGAGTACTATATAATAGACTGTAATATCTTTCATGTGGAAAGACTTCCATTGACAAATCCTTACAAGCTGGGACACAATCTCCTCTGAAAGATGAGTTTTCCAAACATCTTCACCATTGGTAAATCTATAAGAAACAGGACATCACAATATTATATATATATATATATATATAGTTTTAATTGATTGGATGAAAAACGAGTAAATGCTGTCAACTTAAACTGAAATAAATTAAAAAAAAATAAGTAAACTTGTGCTTACTAAAACTGAAATAAAATTAAATTAACTCTAGTTAGATTATTTTAAGAAAAATTAATAAATATATGACAAAACACATAAAATTCCTAAGGCTTAAAATGAAAACTGGAAATATAGAAAACTAATTCACAATATGAATAAGAGTAACGTTATGTTAATAATCCTAAAATAAAACTTATATAATTAAACTACATTTATAATTATTATACATGAATCATAGAAGCTCGTCAAACTGCTGTCGCTGCTTGTCGACATATCAACTCACCCTATGTTTGTGTCTCCTGCTGATCGCTTTTGCGTAAAAAACACATACTTGGACTGGTCGTTTTTATCCAGCAATGTGCAGACAACATATTTTACCTCGGGGTTAATCTGAGTCATACTGATGTTCCGTACAATCACATAAAAAGTGAAAACTGCATGCTTTTCAACTAGGAACTGTTCACCATAAACAACAAGGGCGCCATTTAAACGCTCAGCCAGTCAGACATCAGGCACCCGGAAGTTATTGCGCCATTGACGTCCTGTTTACCTCGTAAAAACGATAAAAGTCGAAGTTACACAAAAATATTTATGACTTGGAAACCGGTTTTTGAAGTAAAGTTATGAAATATAATAGAAAGTCAGCATATAAAATGATATAAACTGTAAACAAATGATCTACTGACTGACAGATGGTCTGCTGTGCTGTATGCAGGGATTGTGACAGCACGCGTAAGTTACAGTCATTTCTTAGTCAGTTATAGTTATTTCTTGGTCAATTCTAAGTTGCTTCATATTATGCAGAGCCGCTTCGATGGGTTGGCATTCTCGAACCCGAACTCTGCAAGTGTTTGACACGGAGTTGAGCGCGGATACCGTGGAGTGGTGCCCATTACCACAATGGTCTCATGTTTTGGCATGTGGGACTTACCAACTTCAAAAAGGCGATGATAAGGTAATTAATGCAAAATATCTTCTGATTTTATCAATGTGTGCGCGCGCAAAACCTGACAACATATCCAAAATCCCCCCTTTAGGCACGTCCTCATTCGTAAATCTGTTATAAGTTAAAAATATAAATTAAAGTTTTTTTTAAATGTAAAAGAAAGTTTTGTGTGATGGGTAACGTTAGGGTTAGTGTAAGTGGATATAATATACAGTTTGTACAGTATAAAAACCATTAACTTCTATGGAATGTCCCAATTTAAATAGCTTGTGTGTGTGTGTGTGTGTGTGTGTGTGTGTGTGTGTGTGTATGGTATTATTGGTTGTATCACCTGGCCACTTCTACACGGTGTTTTCTATTTACCGCAGACAGCAGAAGACTCTACTGCCCTGAACAGAATCGGTCGACTTTATCTGTTTCACTGTAATCCGAAAACATCGTTCATCCCTCCATTGACAGAGACTCAGAGAATCAACACTCCTGCTATACTTGACCTCAAGTGGTAAGGCAGTCTCACTTTTCATTCTGCTCACTACAATTCATTCTTAACCTAGACCATTACACAATTTATTTTGTTGTATTTTGTACATTCTGTGTATGTATTGTTTATGCATATTGTTTGTTTATTGTATGTGATGGCATGGATCCATCCATTCTCCACACCTACAGTAAATAGTCTCTGGCTGAGGTAAAGAAACACCCTGGACAGATGGTCAGTATGCCAAGTGGTGCTCACTGCAGAGCCAAATGATGTTCAGCTCCACCTCTCTGGACCTCATGGGTTGAGCTTGACCTAGTCCAGCTCCACCTCTGTGGATCTAATGGGTGGAGGGATAGAGTTATGGGTAGTGGTCGGACCTTCTTGCCCCACCCCTTCTTATAGCTATATTTGATATTTGAATTCCTCAGGTGCCATGTGCCGATATCAGAACGTCCATTGTTGGGTATGGCCACTGCAAGTGGAGAAATCCAGCTGTACAAGCTTATGGAACCTCAGGTGACCAATCAAACTCATGCTGCCTGAGGAGATGCACATTCGAGGACTGTGATAGACATAATAAAAGTTAAGCTCTATTTGCAGCACCAATAATTAATTAAGGTTAAATCCAGAGCCACTGGAACGTTTTTGAAAATGCATTACCACAATTATAATTAATATGAATAATTTGATATTAATAATACATACATTTTGAATCATCCAGCAGCTCAGGGCCCAAGTCCGCCTAACATTATTAGGCATCGGACACATGTTAAGATGTTTAATTGCTTTTGACTGATTAAGTGTCTTTTGCATGTTTGGACTGTGCCTCCAGTAGCAGGGCACCTGTGGTCTGGAGTGTGAGTTGAGAGCAGAGTTGGGTCCTGACAAACTGGCCTTGTCTTTAGACTGGTCCACAGGGAGAGGTGAGAGGTAAGGTGCACTCATCTTTGATGGACTGATGATTTGCCATTGCATTTGTCTCTGTATATAATGGTTACTGTTGTTTTTTTGCAGCAGTGATGTGCGTGTGGTGTCCAGTGACTCAAGCGGCTCTCTCACTGTGCTGTCTCTGGGGGAAGCCAGTTTAACTGCTGTGTGTCAGTGGAAAGCTCATGACTTTGAAGCCTGGATCTCAGCGTTTAGTTACTGGGATACTCAGATTGTTTATTCAGGTATGAGGAAAACGAGCAAGCAAAAGGAACTGTTTGTCACTGTGGTGCTGTTATGTGTATCGTCATTGATTTAGTGTTGTTATTGCTAACTAAAACTGTTACAAATATTTTTTGATAATTGAAACAAATCGGGAATTAAATTTTTTTTTAAAAATAAATAAATAAATTTCATGGAAATTTTAAATGGTGCCTTGGCAATTAACTGAGTTAAAATAAGTTGAAAGTATTATAATTAAAAAAAACTAATTACATAATAAAAGCACATAACTAAATTCCTAAAATTAAAATAAATTAAAAAACTAAAAATAAAAGCTAATTTAATAAATATAATAAATACTATAATAGTATAAATATAGCACTGCTTTGATTTATCTATTTATGTCAAAGTTTCATGTAACCTACAATAAGGTTCCATTTGTTCATATTAGTGAACATGACTAACTATAAAAAAATACTTTATTTATGCATTAAAAATACATATATTTTTTTATTATTATTAGTAATTTCAGAACATTTTTTTCTTTACATTTTTAAAATCAAAAGTTGTGTCTGTTGTGCAAAAGTTGTGCAAATTTGACAAAGATTAATAAACGCATGTATTGTTCATTGTTAGATAACATTAATTCACGCATTCATTAATGGGACCTTATAAAGTGTTACCCATTACTTTTTATAATTTGCCATCTCAGGTGGTGATGACTGCAAACTAAAGGGCTGGGATCTGAGAATGGGTCCCTCTTCCCCCACCTTCACCAGCAAGAGGTGAGACAGTAGCTGTGATGTTTTATCAACCAACATTACTTTTAGCGTTTGAGTCCATTTAATGATGTTCTATATACTGTTTATGCACAGTCATGGTAAATAAATACTACTGTTCTGTCTCAGACACACTATGGGAGTATGCAGCATACACAGTAACCCCCATCGAGAGCACGTACTAGCCACCGGCAGGTAGGAGGCAACTGAAAATATAAAACACGTAAAGAATAATTGTTATTTATTGCAAAAATCATCATTGCAGTCTGTGAGAAAAGAGTCTTTTCCCTTAGTTTCTGCTGAAGCAATCATCAAAAACAGAATAATTAAGTATATGACGTGTGCATGTTTTGTCCTTCTTGTAGCTATGATGAGAATGTGTTGCTCTGGGACGGGAGGAACATGAAGACGCCCCTGAATGAGACTGCAGTGGGTGGTGGCGTGTGGAGACTCAAGTGGCACCCCAGTCAAGAGCACCTGCTGCTAGCTGCATGTATGCATAAAGATTTCCATATTCTCCACTGCCAGAAAGCTATGGGTAAGAATGACTATTAGTCTTTGCCACTGTGTATGCCAATGATAAATATGCACACTATTGCTCAAAAGTTTGGGGTCAGTGAATTCTGAAATTTTGAAAGAAATTATTTTTATTCAGCAAGGTTGCATTTCAAATCAACTTTCTATTCTTAAAGAATCCTAAAAATATATATCACACTTTCCTCAAAAACATTAATCAGCACAACAGTATTCAACACTAATAATGATAAGAAATGATCGAAGAAATCGTGTGACTGGAGTGATAGCTTTGCTTAAAACTAATATTTCTAATGTACTAATATTCTATATGTACTAATATTTCACAATATTACTGTTTTTACTCCTTTTTTGATCAAATAAATGCAGTATGCAGCCTTGGAGAGCATAAGAAACTTATTTTTGTTATTTACAATTCTTCATAGTAACTTTTGGTTTCTCCCTAATTTCCACGTTTGTAGAGGGACAAGATGCACCATGTTCTGTTCTGGCCTCTTATATTCTACACAACTCTTTAGCATATGGAGCAGACTGGTCCAGACTCCCCCTAAGCAACTCCACGCCCCCCTCTCCTCAGGAACCTCCCCAAACCAGCATTGGGCTCACAGAGTCCAGAGGTCATCTCAGAATCCAGTATGAATCGCCCACTGCCAGCTTTGATACCTCTCTGGAGGATGACTCGGGGCAATACGTACCTGATCATTGTCTTTTACCCGAAAAAAAAAGATCAGCTCCAGACCCCTTTACCAGCCCTGACAGAGACGCCCAGTCTCTGTCCTGCCTGATGGCCTCCTGCTCCTTCTACGACCACATGATGCACGTTTGGAGATGGGACTGGACCCCAGAGGAAGAACAGATGAGGTCTGAACCCGCCCACTCTTCCTGAACACAGTTGCTCTGATTGGGCTTTTGTTATGAGGTTATTTGGGACTGCGCATTTCAACAGTGTCCTGCTGTAACGTCTGCAATATTGCTTTGTATTCAACGCGATTTTGGAAAATGTCATTTTCTCACTATATATTGTAGTTTGTGTGATTAGTCCCAATTTAGTTTTACATTGAGACGTAGACAGATACCTTTTATAACGAATAAACCATTACCATAATAATAAATTCAAGTGTCTATATTTATTTCTTCTGTAAAATAATTATAAGGCAGGGGTTTTCTAGCTTTTAAATACCAACGACCCTTAAATAGGATCATTTATTTAATATGATCATAAGGGTCCACATGTAAGGGATCCTAAAATGTAAAAGGCATCTATAAAGTTTTTACTTGCACTGTGAAAAATAAATATTAGAAATATTTCAAAAATATTATTTGGAAAATATTTAGTCTCTGATAAGTTACATTTTCTTTTCCTAATCAATACAGTACTGTATTTATTTACTCATTTATTCACTTATTTTAATCTATTATTTATTTGGTTATTTATTATGCATTAATTTACTCATTTACTTTAATATAACTTATATTTATTCTTTTTATTGTATTTTAACAACACCTTTTCTGCACCTTTTCCTAGCACTTCTTTGTGGCCCTCGACTCCAGTTTAAACCCGCCTGCTCTACGAAATTATTCAATGGCAATGAATCAGTTTTGCTAAGGGTTGAGCATTTTTTTTATTCCAGTAGTTTTTAAATAATTTCCAAATAAACAGTCAAGTATGAAATGGTTTAAATCTTAGATGATATCTGTTCATGGAAAATTCTAACAAAACATAACCTTGTTTACAGTCCATTGCAAACACAAAGTCCATCTAACGAACAAAGTTCTTGGGATACAGCTTGAACAGCTTCCCCTCTTGTGTTTTCTCCAATCCGTATTTCTCAAGACTGTCCATGTCGAAAACCCCTCCCTCAATGTCTCTTTCAATCTGTGGGGCCACCACCTCACTGAAGAGCTTCGCTGGAGTCATGGGCTCTTCTGTCCCTGCTGGGGTCTTGTATGACACGTAGGGTTTCAGGCTGAATCCTTCCAGGTTAGGCACCACAAACTCTGGTATCATGGCCCGTACAGGTATGAACTTTCTGCTTGAGGTGACAACTCCAGTGGGTCTTGCACCTCTGCTTTTGTAGAATGTCCTGGGCCCACGCTTGCTCGTGAACTCCGCCATTCTGTCAGCTCCTCTCACGAGTCCCCGCGTCAGCGCTGACAGGACCCCCATTTAAGAGTGATTTTTCTGCAGCAATAACCTGTATCAAAATGAATGTATTTATTTTAATTATATTTTAAACAACTTCATACCATTTTCATTTCAAAATCGATTTAATTTAATTGTATTTTAAGCAAATCCATAACAATATTATTTAATTTAATTATATTTTAAACTGTCTCATAACATAGTTTCAGTAAATGTAATGGTATTTACACAATTGAATAACATTACTGTAACTTAAATTAAAATGCATACACACATTAAGCAATCCTTTGTATTTTTTGAGTGAGATCATATTAACATTGACTATGATTTTACTGTAGTAAAAAACGGTGGTAATTATGTCGTTTGGGAAGAAACTAGCTGCTATAGTATAATAGGGAAAAGCTGAAGCAGAGCAGGTGATGCTCCATATTGGTAGCAAGAGCACCACCAATATTAAATAATGACGGTCATCTTTAATAAATTCTGAATTGTTGTATAGTAAGGAAGAATGACAGCAAAATGAACAACAATATAATCTTTTTGAAGGTCGTCTCACTGCATTCAAGTTAAATAAATGCTGGTTCAAAATGAAGAATGGAGGATACTACAACGTTACAGTGTGTAACGTTAGTTGAAATCGTTCACTATATTCACTTTTCAGAAATCATAAAATAAAATAAAATAATGAAAACGTCGCTGGCCACATATGAAGTATAATGTATTTAAATGTCATAGATCATTAAAAGACCCAAGCTCACCTTGAACGATGTGCTACTGCGCTTTCAATAAGAGATCACTCTTTTCCAACGTTAAGCGTAGTAAAGAAATCAACTGTAATTGGTCAGATCAGTACGAAGACAGCCAATAGGAGACGCGAATATTGATTAGAGGCTTTAGGGCTGTCCTCGGCAGTGTTGCCATGTCCGCTTGTTATGAACTTATTTTCTCATAAACTGTTCTAAATGTCCTACCGTCAGTCACATGCTTAGCGCCACCGTCGATTCATAAATGCGCGTACAGGAGAGGTAAGTATTTTTTTAAAACTATTATATATATATATATGAAGAGTTCAGATGCAAAAGCCTCTAAATGTCATTTGAAATTTTCTTCTTTAATGATGATTTTTATAAAACTTGTATATTATATTATATTTTATTATATTTATAAAACTTGTATATTAAAACTTGTATATTTTTATATATACTTAAATACACAAGCTTGATAAAAATGATCATTCTAGAAGAAAATTTCAAATGGCACTTAGAGGCTTTTGCATCTGAACTCTTCATATATATATATATATATATATATATGTATATGTATATAATTACTTTGCAGCAATTTGTAGTTAAACAAAATGTATGTCTTAGGTTTATACTAAAGAACATCTGATCAATAAAATGAAGCAATTCTCCTTTCTTGATAATCCAAAAATGAGGCTAATTTTGAGCATAAACACCCCGGGAGGATCGTTTTTTCTTACAGAACCTGGCAACACGTGAATTCAGTGGGAAGTGAATGAAACCCTTGGGAGACTCAAAAGTACACTGAGTGACAAAAACAGAGTTTGGAAACGCCGTTCAAAAGGTACTTTTCATTTATTAATGGACATTATTTGCACGCAGGATTTCCGCGTTATACAATGAAATAATGTCACAATCTTGTTAATTAAGTTAACGTTACACTGAGTGGTAAGGTAACGCTATTTGATTACAAGTGCTTGTTTACAGCCGCGGCTTGAGCGTAAACAACACAACTGAGTTTACCTCTGACCCAGAGACACGTCCGTCAGTCCTGTAGGTCCTCCTCAACCAACAAAACTCTCATTTACAATATTCTTCCTTTCGGTGAAACACACTTGCAATTTAAGTTTTTGCGTCACCTTCACTCTGCGTTGAGCGTTTGACTTTTCCTCCTGGTAGAGGGTCTCATAAATCACACCACATGGTGTCAGATTGCAGTGAGATGGCAGTGTCAGATCATGGTTCCCTGACTCATGTTCTTGCAGGTCTTTTTTGACAAAATCCCTACCACTGACATTTTCAACAGGCCAGAATCAAATTTGTTGTTGCTATGACATATTTTGCAACGTGAGCTGCTATTGTATGAAGTTTTAACCTATATTTAGTAGAAGTAGGTATTATGTCAACTATTTTAACCTTGTAATTAACCTAGGTTCTCTGAAGGTCAAGCATGTACATAAATATTGCTTTATGCCACTTAAACAGCTATTGCATATTGTAAGAACCTTGTGAGTTATTATAAAATCAGATTTGAGATGTGTATCAAATGTGTTTATTTCTGTTGTCTCGTCTCTGGAAGATATGGATGAGAAAGAACAAGATGATACGTGCAGTATTTTTCCGGTAAGACATTAAAGCCAAAGCCATTACGGTAAAGCTAACATGTGTATCAGTGAGTGTCTGTAAATAAATAAATAAATTACTATATGAATAAAGCCATGCTGTTTATACTACTGAAGTCACTTGCAGTATACTATTTAAAGGGAACACTATTAGATTAAACTGTACTTCGTTCAAAAGCATTAGTTTTGTTATTTCCACAATGAAACAATGATTGAGCAAGACTGTGATCTGATGACTCCACATTTCCCAGATCAACCTCGCTTGAGATTGAACCAGTAACCATTATGTTAGTTGTTTTGGCTTTGTGTTGTAGTTGCTCTGTAAGGTGTGGTTTATAATCATGATTTTGGTTGCACTTTTGTGGATTCTAGGCAGTGCTGCCATCTGGGAGTGAAATCAAAGCCCGGGTGCAGAACTTCATAGAGGATCAGTTGCAGACCACCATGGTATATGATAATTCCACATGTTTTAGTGAATTAATAATCCATACTGTTTGTCTCGCAGACAAAGTGTATTGTTTTGTTTTTTTGTTCCCATTTCATAATAATACAGTGGACTGGTGTGTTGATTGGAGCTGCTGTTGCTGTTTCCATTATCAGTATTGTTACCTTTTTTCTGCACAGAATATTCAAGGCTGGTGAGTGTGTGATCATTTATGGTTTAGAGTGTTTTCACCACTAGGTTTATAGATATTTGAATAAGCACAATATAGACAGATGGCATGTAGTTGTTGTGTAAATAAAATGTGAAATAGACCGTTCTTTTTGAGTATTTTTTGAGTGTTTAACCAACTGTTTTACTTTGGATTTTCCAGGAGAAGAGCAATCTGAAGGTCCTAAATATCGTTTCAGAAAAAGAGACAAAGTCATGTTTTATGGCAGGAAGATAATGCGGAAGGTACCAGAACTTCCCAGCGTGTTACTTTCAACAAAACTGTGTGTGTTGTTATATATAATGTGTTGTTATTTGTGTCCATTCAGGTCCAGACCTTGTCCTCACCACCCACCTCAGGTCCAGTATCTCAAAAGCGAACCAGAAAAAGAACAAAAGTATTGTCGATAGCTCGCAAGTATGTGAAAAGTCACAGATGAGGAACGAACACACCATAAACAAACCATGTCTACCAAAGCATCTTAACATCCTATCCATCTCTTGATCAGAATCCTGCGTATCCGAAGGGAGCCACCAACCCTTCAACCGAAAGAACCTCCTCCTTCCCTCTTGGAAGCAGATCTGACTGAATTTGACATGCAGAGCTCTCACCTGCCCTCTGAAGTCCTGTATATGCTGAAAAATGTGAGGTTGGTACCTTGTCATTTAATCTTACAAGAACGATCGATTCTTTTCCAAAGTAAACCGTACACAGAATCTAAGGTCTAATGATCTGGCGGTGTTGTTCGGCACCTAATGAGTTGAGATATGTTCTGTTTCTCAGGGTTCTGGGTCATTTTGAGAAGCCTCTGTTCCTGGAACTGTGTCGGCATATGGTGTTTGTGCAGCTACAGCAAGGGGAAGGATTATTCCGCCCTGGTGACATCGATGACAGCATCTTCGTAGTGCAGGATGGGCGTCTTGACCTGTGCATCCATGAGAGTGTAAGAACCAAACGGTCTCAATATACTCTTTCCTAGTGAAAACAGGGTTGTGTACCAATTTATGACTAAGAGTATTTGTCTTTCTCTGACTCAGGATGGGACTGAGGTTGTGGTGAAGCACGTTTTGCCTGGAGACAGTGTTCACAGTCTTCTCAGCATCCTCGATGTCATCACTGTAAAACCCATCTGGCCTCTTTTTTTACCCACTCTGATATGCAAATGTTTGTATTTTGACCTGTTTTCAAGCCCACTGAAGTTTAAAATTTTGAAACCCGGATTCCACAGGGATATCCAGCTCCCTACAAAACCGTCTCAGCCAGAGCAGCAGCTCGAACTACCGTTCTCCGCCTCCCTGCGCAGGCTTTCCAGTCCGTCTTCGAGAAATACCCAGAGACCCTAGTCAGAGTTGTTCAGGTATAATCTAAACCCTAATATACACTACCCTCAAAAGTGGGGGTAGTAACTTAAAAAAAAGGTTTTGAAAGAAGCCTCTTATGCTCATAAAGGCTGCATTTTTATCAAAAATACAGTAAAAACAGTAATATTGTGAAAGTTTATGTTTTAAACGTTTATATGTTTTCAAATGTAATTTGTAATGGAATTTTCAGCAGCCATTACTTGAGATAAATGAGACTCCAGTCAAATCAGTTGTTAGAAGTACTTGTTTATTGTACATATGACAGGACAATGTTTCTTGTTAATGTTTTTTTTTCAGATTATCATGGTGCGACTTCAGAGAGTGACCTTTCTCGCCCTTCATAACTATCTGGGCCTGACCACCGAACTTTTCAATCCGGTTAGATGTTTATCTATAAATCACATTCTAAGTATTTTACACTATTACAGTAGGCTTTTTATTACAGTACATACGTTGAATAGTCTATTTCTGTCACATCGTGTAGGAAAGTCAAGCTGTTCCACTGGTGTCAGTGGTTGGTGTTGTAGGAGAGGTCAGTCCAGGCAAAGGACTACGCAGACAATCACAAACGATTGAGGATGTGTCTGACAAAGTCCCACAGAGGTCCTTTGACCATTACAATGACACAAGTCAGACATACAGAGGAGAGGGTATGATGTGTTCATTTAATGCAGTTAAATACAAATATTTCCTGTGAATCATTTACACATTGCAGACTTTTTGTGCTGAATGGCTTTCCAATAAAATTCTTTAAATATTCCTATCATTACCCTAATAATAAGCAAATATATTTCTAAGAGTTATAAGTCAGCCTGTGGGTCTTACTTGCTCTTTTGTTTTCAGATGGTGGTAAGCCCATCCGTTCAGAAAGTCCAACCACTTTATTCAAGAAGTCTCGCTCTGTCAGTGCACATGGTAGTGTTTCACCATGCATCTTTTACAAAATACCCAAAACTAACTTGGTCCTCAAATATCATTCATCCCTACCTAGCTTGAATACATTCATAATGAACATGTTTGAGTGTGGTAATGTGTGCTTATCCCACAGCTGGGTCTCCTGACCAAAATATGGCCTTTGACAGAAGAACGAGCATTACAAAAGAGAATGCCCCTTCAAGTCCTATTGTCATTCATAAGGTACCTTGGCATCATTCTATCACAAATTCAAAGAAGCCATAAACTGTTTTATTTTTATATTTGTTCATATCCTGTACATTGCATGTGTGTGCTTATCTTTCCTCCTATGTGAAGTCTGTTCGGAAGAAGTCGGTGACTCTGCAACATTCTCCATCAGCTGTGTTTCACTACTCGGACACTGGGGGTCACTCCAGCCACATTCACCACTGTAAAGTTAATGCCATTTTTCAAGCTGCCAAGAAGGACTTGCTCAAGATTATACAGCTTCAGGTCAGGCCACATTAATTATATTGTTCTACTAAAATGAGGAGTTTAAATACAATTTGGAATATTGCCATAGAAGT